CGTTTTCACTAGTAACAGACTGCAGCTATGCTACGACAGGTTTGATTTTGAAAGCAGATTCATTGCTGATGGCTTCATGACCTGTATGGACAGTTCACCATGACAATGTCTTCATGCACAGCAACACAGGAGAAAATAGAACTATGCATAAATTACATTCATTTGTCAGTTTCTGACTACCTTCAGATATTGGGAAAGTGCACATGAATAGTCATTCCAAATAATTTTAACATTGGTTAAAATTTGAATAAATGATTCCTCTTCATTCCCCATTTAGATGGGTTCATTCTAACTATCAATTGATTGATCCCTTTCCCATTCAATGTATTTTTTAAGCATTTGATGTCATTTCTACTTAAAATTAAAGTTCTAAAAGCTATTTGAAATGTACTTTGACATCAAAGTCAACTAATTCTCACTGGCTGCCCTGAAGGACACTGTCGCTAATAGTGAATATATTTGTGTGTGAATACAATTGGATAACTATATACTAGTTTACATACATCTAAACTAGCAGTGTAAAATGCAGAACTAATTTAAATTTTAATTTAAAGAGAGAAAATTTTGTGTGCAGCCCTCCCTCATCCTCATTTTAAAAAGAGTCATATTGCCTCAAACTAGCATATATCACTCTTCCATTTAGTCTATGACTGATTCCATTTGTATTCAATAAAATCAATGAACGTAGTAATTGCATCCAGACTGGAAAAAAAAGATCTTAGTTTTGTTGGTCGAAGCTTATGGAATCTGTTATCTATTCCATAAACATATTAGCATCCACATTTTTCAGCATATCAAATTGGAAACTTAGAAAATGAGATTGTAAATGAGATTGCGTAAATATATACAATAGAAGTTAAATTTAGTTTAAGCAAAATAAAGGCACAGTTATTGCTTAAACTCCTGGAATAATACAAGGACATTTCATGCCTTGATGTTTCATGGTGTAAGGTAATGCACTTGGGGAAGAGCAGGGAAGACGAGGAGACACCTAAAAGAATAGGCCATCGAGACTGGAAGCAGGCACCAGACAAAAGTTTGATGAGAAGGACAGCATTTAAGAGTGACATTGCAGAAAAGTCATGACTTCATTGATTGTTGACAAGTTGCTGTTAGGGACTGTTTCAACAACAGTAATTTCAAAAAAACATACATTGTTCAACTAGCACAGGGAGAGAAAAAAATTATATGCACAGGAGACAGGCCTGATTTGTGTTTAAGGATGAAGAATTTCTATTTGCTTTAATCTCCATTTTTCAATTAACAGTACAAGAGTAAGGTTAAAGTAATTAAAGTCATTATAAGTAACTTGCAATTTTACCAAACATCAGGGCAGTTCAGCCAAGCAGAATGCTTGTCCTGTGGCATGGGGGGAGTTGTGGACAATTCTTGTGACCTAGGCAAGCCCATAAGCAGAAAGGGTGAAAGGCTGCACAACCTTGAAGTCTGGGTTACAAGCTCTAGCAGCGGCTGGAGTCATTGAGTGCATCTATGACACAGATAACTACGCGGGCAGCACATTCAGAGAGGAATTGTGAGTTTGCTGCTGCTGTTATGTTCGGTTTAAACTAACTCAACAGGTCTGTATGAACCAGGAGAAAATATTAGAAAGTAATACTGGGTGCATGAAATTCTGGGAGACACAGGTAGCACTAAATTAGAGAACAGTAAGTTAATAGGTGGAGCTGAAGTAAAGGACAAACAAATGAAGTCTAAATTAAGTATAGACTGCACAGTGAATGCGCAGCACATACATAATACAGTTAGAGACTTATAGGCACAGATTGTCTTGTGGAAATATGATGTTGTGGTGATAATGGAGACCTGGCTTAAGGAAGAACATTCAGAAAAGATAGGAAAGAGGAGAAAAAGTGACTCAGCAGCATTTTAAGTTAAGGACAGCATTATAGTTTGGAAAAAAGGATATTTCAGAAGGTTCAAGAACAGAATTGATTCGGCTAGAGTTAAGGAATAAGAATGGTGCAGTACATTGCTTGATGTAATACATAGACCACCAAGTGGTGGGAAGGATATAGAGGAACAAATCTGCTTAGAAATTATTGGGAGGTGTAAATATCAGACAGCATTTATAATGGGGAATGTTAATGAACTGTGTACCAACTGGGATTGTGGTAGTGTTAGGGACAGTGAGGGATAAGTGTTCCTAGATTGTGTTCAGGATAATCTCACACAGCAGTATGTATCTAGTCCAACAAAATAGGAGGTTTTGCTAACACTAGCTCTTGGGAATGAGGTGAACTATTCGTATCAAATGATAGTGGATGTCATTTAGAGAACATTGATCACTTTATCATAACGTTTAGGATGATGGTAGAATACAGTCAATTTAGATGAAGAATAAGCAATTTCAACCCACAGCAATGTGATTGACTCTTAAACACCCTTGAAACGGCCAAACAAGCCACTAAATTGTATTAACCACTGGAAGGGTGCACCTGGAAAGACGATCCATCATCAACTCAGGCTGCAAAAACAGCAAACACAGCACTGTCTACCCTGCGAGGCATTCCTTCCCAGCATTTGGGGGTTAATGCCAAAATTAGCAGAACTGTGACACAGACTAGTTAAGAATCAGCCTGACATAGTCATGGTTGCAGGATCATACCTTGCAGACAATGTCTCAGACAACACCATCACCATCCCTGGATATGTCCTGCCCCACCAGCAGGACAGACTCTTATGGCACCATGTGAAACATGCACAAGGTAACCTGCTCATTATTAACTACCACCTTCCCTCAGTTGATGAATCAGTACTCCTCCATGTTGAAAAACATTTGGAGGAAACACTGAGGGTGGCAAGGACACAAAATGTATTCTGGGTGGGGGGAATTTCACTGTCCGCCACCAAGAGTGACTGGGTCAGCAGCAGGTGGTGAGGGAACCAACAAGAGGGAAAAACATATTTTACCTAATCCTTATCAACTTGCCAGCTGCAGTTACATTTGTCCATGACAACTTCTGTAAGACTGACAATCGCACAGACCTTGTGGAGATTATGTCCTGCCTTCAGATTGTGAATACCTCACGCTGTATGGCACTAACACCATGCTAAATGGGACAGATTTCCAATGGATCTAGCAACTCAAGACTGGGCATCCATGAGGTATCGTGGGTCAGCAACAGCAGCAAAATCATACCCAACACAATCTGCAGCCTCATAGTCTGATATATCCCCCAGTCAACCATCAACCCTGATACAATGGAGAATGCAGGAGGTCATACCAGGAACAGCACCAGGCATATCTAAAAATGAGGTGTCAACCTGGTGAAACTGCAAATCAAGGACTATTTGTACTGATCAGATCTGAGCTCTACAATCAAGCTACATCCAATTGTGAATGGTGGGAGGCAATTAAACAATGGTTCCCAGCATTACAGGTGCCAGTCTTCAGCCAATTTGATTCACTCCACATGATATCATGAAATGGCTGGAAACAGCTATGGGCCCTGACAACAATCCAGCAACAGTACTGAAGGCTTTGCTCCAGAACTTGTCATTCCCCAAGACAAGTTCTTCCAGTACAGTTACAGCACTGGCATCTGCCTGACAACATGGAAAATTGACCTGGATGTCCACTACACAAAAAGGACAAATACAACCTGTGACAAAATGTCACAACCCACTTGAGGAAGTGGATCGATATTTGAACCTCATTATTCCTGGAGTCATCACAAAAGTTAAAGATTTAGTCAAAGTACTCAAATTCCCTAATGTACCTGTCTGATGAACTCAGATTAACAGTAAACAGGGACCAGGTTTCTATACTTAACAAAAACTCACAGTGATTTACATTCATGCATGGAGCCCATGAAGTTGATGACTGGTCTGGAACCTGGCATCATCCTGCCCTCTTCCAGGTTCCTTCGGATTGGGATTGAAGATGAGCAGGGAACTCACATTGACCTGTTCATTGCAATGTTTAAGGTCCATAAAAAACTATTTAGACCCCCTTTAATCCATGATGTTGGATTTCCCAGCCAGGAATTTTGTTCCTTGATCCAACAACAACTCACCAAGATCACTTCAGTCAATCTAACAAACTGAGGAAGTTTTGATCGGTTACAATGATGAGCTCATTCCACGGCCAGAGCACTATTACTGTGTGACACAGGTGACTGACAACTTGTTGGAAGGATTTGTTTTTAACCTATCCAGCGTTTGCTCACCTTCAGCTTCTCTAGCCTGCTGTCAGCCCTCACCACAACATGTGTCCATCCCCCACACAGTCCCAACGGTGCCACATTTCTGGAGATGCAAGGAGTCTTAGCAGAGCTGCAAGATGTGTTGCCTGAGGATTGTTCAACAGGGCAATTATAAGAAAATCAGAGAATGGGACTCAGCACTTGAGATTGTTATGTCCAGTTAGCTGTCCCATCCTCCCGAGGATCTGGATCCTCTTGATTCATTCTCTCCAGGATGGAGGAATCACACATGCCCAGTCTTTTCCATCTATACCAGATTCGTTGAAGAGGCTTTCCTCTTCCTATCATCTTTAGGAGTGCTTGCCTCCCTGCAGCCCCTCAAATCTTGTATTGAGACATTCAGGTAAGTGCATAAGACCCAGGAGCAATTTTCGGAGACCTCCATTCAACTGGATTCTGCAGCCTCAAACAGCCAAGAGCTGGTGAACCCTTGTTACCCAGGCTTTGATTTGGAGGCAGTGGGAAGCAGCAATCATAACTTGGTCCAACGCTATCTTCCCTCAACATAGGCACACACCCATTTACCATCGGGTTTGACAGATGGGAAATTTGGCTGCTTTCTTTCCTCTAACTCAGGACTGCTGAAGTCCACTGCTAACCCAACTAAGATCAGGAAGCTGAATACAGATCAGAGATCAAAGGCTGTATTAATTACTATTGGATTCAACATTTTATTTACCCGCAGAATCCACAAGGGAAATATAGCTTCAGTATTGCAAGGAAGTTTATTAATTAGGAAAGTAACCACAAGTTTTTGCATTTTCTACTATTTAGGTATGACTTTGTAGAGGTGGAAGACATCTCTGACACAAACCGAATCATTCGTGGAAGGTGGTGTGGGAATAAAGAAGTTCCCCCAAAACTAATATCGAAAAGCAATAGACTGAGGATAACATTTAAATCGGATGAATATTTTGTGGCTAAGCCTGGATTTCGCATTTATTACTCTCCAGTGGATGTGGTAAGTAATATCCATTAGTAAAATTGTTACTTGGAATCACAGTTATGAATCTTATTTTCATCAGTGAGCTCTTCACTTCATAGTTTGATTGCATGGTGCACTTGAAATGGATGCTGTGGTGACACTGTTAGTTTGATTGTTATACTGCAGTCTGATGCTCAAATGTTTCATGTGATAATATATCCAAAAATATCCCATATAACACATCCAAAGAAAATACTATAACATTACTAGTTTACACATTCTACCTGTTGTCAATACAGTTAAAGCTTTACCTGTGCCCTTTTAATTCATTCTGAATCTGTTTGGCAATACATAAAAATCACAATATTGCATTTTGTCTGGGATGGGGTTTGGAATTATTTTGTTTGTAATAAAGTGTGGAAGTGTTTCATTTAAGAGAATCAAACAAAATTGATGTGTTAGAAGTATTCTGTTTTCGGATCTAAAGTTTGAGAGAGTGGAAATAGAGATGTTTTCTCAGAGAAAAATTAAAAGATTCAAATTGAAGAAGGGTGGAAGTTTGAAGAAATGGGGTAGAAGGACTGTCTGAAGGGGATAGAAGTGTGAAATATAGAAAATCTCAATGCTGAAAAAGACCATTTTCTACCTTCCTCTTACCCTAACACTGCCACTGGTGATGTTTCTCCTCAGAATAAATGTTAAAATTAATCTTGAAAGCATTTAAGCCTCATGATCTTCTGTGGTAAGTAATTCCCAAAATCAACCATGTTCTCAATGGGCAGAATTACGTCTCCTTTAAAGATCAGTCACAGCTTTGAGCAACTTCTAGTCCTGGTCCTATTCTAGCTGTTGGCATGACCATCAAGATTTTCCCAGAGACAGCTAATTAAGAGCCCTCTCCGGGTGCACCACCCAATTGAAGAAGACAATTGAGTTCCTTAAGTCTACAGCCTCATCTTAGAACCTGTGGCCTTGCATCAGGCAGCAACCACAACAGCAGAAGTGGTTACTGCTGCTGCAGGAGACAAATGTACCGTCACCTCTATGTGTGAATCTATTTCAATGAATGGGCCCCCAGCTGCAGGTGACTGACAGCCACAATGTGGCCCATTGCATCTCCAGGATGAGCTCAAACAACATTGAAGGTGTGTTGATGTTACCCAATTCTACTGCACAAACACGTCCATCAATTCCCTATTCCATTGCTAAATTAACTGATTGTTCAGCCAACACCAGTACTGGATGAGTAGCAATTTAGCCCAGTTAAATATTATGAAGTCTGAAGCTATTATTGTTGTTCCCTGCTCCAAACTCTGTTCATATGGACTTACTCTGTTTCTTCTCCATTGCAAATGTCTGAGACTAAACAAAACTGTTTGCACCCTTCGGATCATGATTGACACCAAGATGAGATTTCAATTATATTGTGTCATCTCTGTAACTGTGCCCTGGCTTAGTTCAGACCCTCATTCCTGCCTTTGTTAGCTCTAGACTCAAATATTCCAACACACTCTGGGATTATCACTAATATCCTAACCTCTACAACCTTAAGATCACCAAATCTTTGCCTTGAATTCAATCACACTAAATCCCATTCATTCGTTACCCCTTTGCTCACTGGCCTGCATTGACTTCAAGTCAAGCAATGTCTCAATTTTTAAAATTCCATCCTTGTTTTCAATTTTGTATGTGTCCTCGCCCTCTTTGTACCAGTCACCTACAATTCTGTGATATCTGCACTTAGCTAAACCTTGAGTGCCCTGATTTTCATCACTCTATATTGATGACCATGCCTTCAATTGCATAGAGCCTACGCTTTGGAATTCCTTCCCTACATCTCTCTGTTTTGCTTCCTTGCTTTTGTCCTTTAAGCCACTCTTTATAACTTACATTATTAACCAAGCTTTTGATCATCTTTTGATCAGCTTTTGATGTGATAGCTCCTTATCTGGTTTGTTCTCATATTTTTATGTGATAGGTTCTGTGAAGCACCAAAGAAAATGGTTTATTACTTTAAAGGCACAAAACAAATGTGTTGTTGATTGATACAGAGATCAATTATCAACTTCACCTGTAATTTATAGGAAAAAATATTCAATCATAATATTAATTGACACAGCAGGTCTACATTTATCAGATATCAGTAGTGTCATTTTTTAAACTGGACTAAAGATGAGAACTATTTTCTATCGTTTATGAGGAGAGAAGTAAATGTAATTGTTTATTCCCCTTTATCCTGTGGCTTGATTGAGAGTTAATTTGGGGTTTGGAGTGAGTGGGGGAACCACTTACTGGGTTTTTCAGACACCCATGTAGGTTAGACTGAGTATGATGCAGCCAAGTCTGAGTTGACGTACTCCATTGTGAGTCATTGAGAGGACAACTGAAGTGAGCTGACAGCCTGAGAAATGAGAATCCTACAGGATAATTGATGCCAAGCACTTCACAAAAAGATTTGCTCTTTCCCAGAAGAAAAGCTTTTGAGGTTTCTCATAGAATATCTCGTGAAAAACAGGTATATATGGAGAAGGTCGCAATCTAAATATAGAGGTTTAAATCACTTCATAGATATATTTGTTGGTCTTTTGGAAAATTAAAATATGTTAATCAAATACATTTCTCACTCAGAGTAACAAAAATGTAAAACATACCATCTATTTTCCACAAAATAATTACCTTGAAAGATAAACGTTTGTCATGCTGCATGTCTTGGGTGAGCAAAACCAGTGACATATACAATGAGAGTGTTTACAATTAGCGTTAACTACTGTCAGCTTGTTTATGCTTTCTCATCTGATCCTGACACTTGGAATAAGCAGTCAGTGTTTTGTTGTAACAAGGAAATGCTAATGCTAAAATAATAGAAATTCTTCAGTGTAAGCAGATTGATTTATTAGAATTTACAGAGAAGAACTTATTTATTATATTTCCTGATTAAATTATTTACATCATGTCTTGAACACTAGAAGTTGTTCCAAGACATTTCATAAGACACAAAATTCAACACTGAATCCATAAGGTGTATTCGGGCGAATGCTTGGCCAAACATTTAGGAGTATCTTAGGGAAACGAGGAGAGGGTTAGGCAATCCAGAGCTTAGCACCTAGACACGGAAGATAATTTTGAAACAATTAAAACTGGCAAAAATTAAAATTGGGAAGTTTGACTATAGGAGGCAGGCTAGGCATGAGTTGTTGGAATAACGATGTCCAGAGGCATAGAAGGAGCCAAGAGAGAGGCTATCGCTATTACAAAAGTTGAAATAGAGAGTTTTAATGATGGTGTGTCAATGTGGTAACCCATCTTGAGTCAGAAATAGGCCACCAAAGCTGCTGAAACTCTGATACAACATCTACAAGGCACAAATCAGGAATGTGATGGAATACTGTCCACTTGCCTTGATGAATGCAGCTCCAAAAGCATTCAAGATGTTTAACATTATCCAGGACAAAGCAGCTCAGCTGATCGTAGCCACTACCTGCAACATTCATTCCCTCCACCACCGATGCACAGTGTTGTACCACCTCTAAGATGCTCTGCAGCAACTCACCATGACTCCTTCAACAGCACCTTCCAAACCCATGACCTTCGCAACTTAGAAGGACAAGGGCAGCAGATGTATGGGGACATCACAACCTGCAAGTTCCTCTCAAAGCCTCATCCCTATATCACCATCTTTTACTGTCACTGGGTCAAAATCTGAAACTTTTGCTTTATTGTTTTCATGGGAAGTGGGTATCACTGGCTGGGCCAGCATTTATTACCCGTCTCTAATTGCCCATTGAACTGAGTAGCTTCCTAGAGGCATTCAATTGAGAATCACCCACATTGCGGTGGATCTGTAGTCACATGTAGAGCAAACCAGGTAAGGATGACAGATTTCCTTCCCTATAGGGCATTAGTGAACAATTTTTTTTTTCAGTGACATTCAACAATGGTTGTCCTATTGCCACTAAATTAGTTTCTTTTTAATTCCAGATTTTTTTATACTAAATTCAAATTTTACCATCCGCCATGGCGAGATTTGAGCCCATTTGAACACATGACACCAGAGCATTAGCTTGGGTCTCTGGAATATTAATCCATTGACAATACGACTTCGTCACAACCTCCCCACTTCCTATAAGCAAAGACTGAGGTGGTTCAAGAAGGAGACCTACTGGCATTTTCTCATGTTGACCCAGCCAAAAATGCCTACATCACATGGACAGATTAAAAGGAACAATTGGTTCAGTCTTTGTCAGTTGTGAGTGAGAAGGATGTAACTGATGACTAGAGAATGGAGTTCGTAGCAGGCACTGAAGACATTGGTTTAGGCCCTCCCAACATTTAATTGGAGAACATTTCTGTTTGTCCAGTACTGGATGTGTGACCAGCAAATTAGTAACTGTGAATGATGGAGTAGTTAAGAGAGGTGGTAGTGAGGAAGAGCTTGGTATCTTCAGTTTACAGTGAAAAATAACACTTTTGCTTGCTGCTGATGTTGCCGGTGGGCAACATGCAGTTGTGAAATAGGTGGGAATGGGAGGAGCAAGGTGAAAATATAGACATGCAGCCCCACCCAGCTGGATGACAGGGCAAGCACTGGAGGAGGAACATGGGCAAATAGCACATAAGCTGAGAAGGTCAAGTAGAAAACATTTACTTTTGCCCTAGTTCCATTGAATAAGATTTGTGATTTTGATAAGAGCCTTTATAATAACAGCGCAAAGGTTGAAATCTAATTGGAGGGATGCAAACATGGTGTTCTGAGAAAGGTGAGCGTGGATTTGGGAGGCAGAACAATGCCCAGTGACTTTGGAAAGGTAAGTGGAGTTGGAGCTGGGATGATAGTTTTCAAAGATGGTGTGTAAAGGGTAAACTCTTTGAGGAGAGGGCTGTACTGACAACAGACCTAAAAACAGAGAGAATCAGTACTAGAAAAGAGAATACATATGTTGAAGTTTTCCATTATTTGTCAATTCCAAGTGATATTGCTTTTATTTGCTTTCACCTCTGTTCAAGTTACTTACCCTTAAAGAAACCCAGCATCAGTG